GTTAGTTAGGGAAAATATTATGAAAGACTTCAAATAGGCCAAAAAGATTGCTGGGTGCCTTCAATGGAAACCCAGACATTATCCAAATTATGGGGTCTTTATGCCTTTCCTTGTCTTTGAGCTATTTTACAACTCTTTAAGTTTTATTTTATTTTATTTTTCTTTATTATTATTTTAATATTGAGAGAGAGAGAGAGAGGAAAAGTGAAAAGGAAGCCTCCAGGTTCAGGACTCAAACCATGGTTGGCCACATGGGAGTCCAGCATCCTTAACCACCATGCCATCTGCCAGCCCCAACTCCGTAAGTTTTAGACTATTGACAATAATGCATATTATTCTTTTTCATCAATATGCCAATTATATTCAATGGAGACTCAGTTGATTGTTCTATGCATATTGGCCAGTTTCATCAGTTTCGCCTATATTAGGCAGATTTATCTATGAATTGCTGGCTGGCTATGTATGTTTAATATGTTAACTATTCCTTTGAACTGGTTGAAGTATTTTACTGGTTCCTTCATTAATTAACAAGTTAAGTGAAATTTTTGATATTTATTTTTTATTTTCTAGAGAGATTTTTGCTATAGGGCACACACACTGGCCAGAGAGACAGAGAAAGACAGAGGGACAGAAAATGAGAAATCACCTCCCCTGAGAGAATGGCCACATTGCAATCCTTTCTTCCCCATTCTCTTCCCGAGATTTTGGGCATATACGCACATGCACCTGGCATGAGTTTTATGCCACCAGGTTCAGGACTCGAACTGTGGTTAACTGTGTGGGAGTCCATTATGCCATCTGCTGGTCCTATACATTTATTTTATAGCTGTATGAAATTCATGACTAATTTTTAAAATTATTTTTAAACAATACTATTAGTTATTATTAACTATGCTTTCATTTTATTTCTATTATCCAGTTTCACATCTTTCTGATGAACTTGTTTTATTTGTTTCCTAGTTAGTCTCCAGGTCAATAAGTCTATATTGAAAAATACAGCCATACTAAAGGTGTTATGAGCCTAAAGATATATAAACCTGAAGGCAAAATTCCAATTAATTCCAATAGATGAGAACTTTAAAAATTAAATTTGGATAACCTGTTGTCCAAATTTTTAATATTTAAAAAATTTATTAAATGTTTATTCATTTATTTTAATTTGACCACACACACACACACACACACACACACACAGAGAGAGAGAGAGAGAAAGAAGAGAGCAAGAGAGAGAGAAAGTGAGAAAGCAAGCCATCGGGTCCAGGACTCGAACCACAGTCATCCACGTGGGATTGTCTTAGCACCTTAACCACCACACCACCCACTGGTCCCCACAAGCTAACATTATTTGAATTTTTTTTTTTTTTTTTTTTTAGCTTTTGCTATAGGGCTTGTGTGCTCTCTAGAGAGAGGGAGAAAGAAATCACCCCCTAAGGAGGATGGCCACACCACAATCCCTTCTCCATTCTCTTCTTAGGATTCTAGACATGTATACACACATGCCTGGTGTGTGGCTCAAGCCTCTGGGTCTAGGTCTTAAACTGCTCAGTTTCCATGTGGGATCCACCTGCCTCAACCACCATACCACCAGCTGGCCCTGCACATCTATTATTGCTCATCTTGAAACAAATGT